TTTTTGTTTTAAAAAAAAAAAAATTCCAGATGCATTAGCGCATGCAAAAGGAAAGTTATCGGGATAGAAAAATCTACGGTGAAGCCCAAGTTACCAAAAGATCAATGGGGAGGGAGGGAGGGGGAGAGAGAGAGAGAGAGAGAGAAGCCTCTACCATGATCTTTCCGCTTGGAGACTGGTAATGCTACCCGAGAGAGAAGAAGGAGATGAGACAGAGAATGCGAGTCTGAAAGACCTTTTGGTAACAGCACGGAAACCTAGGACTTTTGACACAACTTATTCAGTTATCCCATCGTGCGATGCTTTGTTTATTTCAAGTGCGTATTCAATTGAGTGACTTTTTAGATTTAAAAAGGTATTCAATATAAATTTTTTTAGATTCTTTAAAAGTATTGATGTATTTAATTAAAATTTTTATAAATTTTTAGTAAGTCTCTAAAATTTACGGTATATTCAATTGAGATTTTTATAAACTTTTAAAAAGTCTCTAAAAATTACGGTGTATTTAATTAAAATTTTATTAAAGTCTCTATAAATTTTGAGTATTCAAATTTTAATAATTTCTAAAATTTCTAGAGTACTAAATTTTAAGCAAAAAGTACTCTATAAGATCTCAAAATTTGTCAATCATTAATCAAGAAATTTTGGGAAAATTTTACTAAAATTTGATTTTTTTTTTCAATCTTTCTTTCATTTTCCTTCTATGATTAAAATTTATTTATTTTTATTGATTATATTTACAATTTATTTCTCTCTCTTATTGTTTATCTCTATTTTCTATGAAAAAATTAAATTGAATTTTTGTAATTTTTTTTCTTTTTTTTCATTCATTTTTTTGTGAAAAAATAACTATTTTTTATTAAATGATTAAATTTTATATGAAAAATTTATAATTAGATTTAACTATATTGATTTTTATTTATTTTTAAAAATATATTATATTAATAATATTGAATATTAAATTTATTGTTTATCATATATATGAATAATTTTGATTATTATTTATTTATTTAATGTCTTAAATTTTTATTCTTTTATTATTATTTTTTTATTTATATGGGAAGAAAAGGGGGCAAAATGAGGAATTGTGGAAACCAACACTTCGTATGTGAGAATTTCACACCATTATACTAAATCCACTGAATTCTATTTCAAATGAAAATTTTCAAAAGTTTTTTGAATTATATAAAAGTTTATAAATATTTTAAAATGAAAGTTCATAGAAGTTTACGAAAAACTTCTACTAATTCCATACAAATCTATATAAAAAGAAAATCCATTAAAGTCTTTAAAAGTCAATCAAAGTTTTCAAAAGTTTCAATTGAATACACTTAATTTTAAAAATAAAAATAAAAATAAATCGATTCGTGGCTGGTTCGACTCAGCTCACTAATTGAAGAATTGAGCCGAGCTCAAATCGTTCATAGGGTCAGTCAAAGCTTGGACATCTACGCTGACTTAGCTCATTATCACCTCCAAGTCGACATAATTCACCCTTTGTTTTCATTTTGGAGAGAATAACCAAAATGTGCGTTGTAAACGCTTTTGAGCTCTCACATTGGCGAGTCTATGATTTCCTTGGAGTTCTGTATTGCGAAGTCATGAGAAGGAAAATCATGCTGCTTGGAGAGAATGTCTTTTGTCACAAAAAATATTTTGATTATTTTTTAAATATTTTTTTGAAGGAAATAATCGCAAGAGGTACCAAGCCTTCTCAAAGTTGTATCAATCAGTTAGATACAAAATCATCAATAAATAGATCCAAAAGTAAACAAACAAGGCATTCGATAATATAATTGAATCCAATAAACTAGAGGAAATACAATGTTGATTTTACTACCATTTTGTAGTAAATAAATTTTTTTTTAACTTGTCACGTGAAGAAAAGCTCTTGTGTATGTGGGAATTGAATACGAGATAATTCATAATTTAGTATCTTAAATCTTTTTTATAACCAAGAGCGGAGCTAGGGAAAAATGTTGGGGTGGACTGAAAAATAAAAATAAAAAATCAATGAATTCACGCCATGAAAGATTCTACATGCCCCCCAAACATAGTTGAAAAGGCTCAACTTATTACACTAATGACAAAGTGAGTTAGATACTCAAATAAGTTTAAACATATCAATCCTAAAGATGTTTTACTAAATCTTCATCGCTTTTCTTGCCAAATAAAAAATCTTGACACCTCCCTATAAAATATAAAATGTCGAAAACATGGTAGCCATGAACAAATAATGTATACCTAGAGGCGGAGGCCCGTATAATTTTTTTAAGTAAAGATTTTAGAATTGTAGTCCAAATGTTTGCATTAGCCCAGCTCTAATTTAAATCTTAACCAAAGTCCAATGCTCAATTATTCAAATTGTAATAAAGACACTACAATTATTAATTACTCTTTTCAAGACATTCATGAAATGTGGATATTTTATTGTCAAATTAGATATTCTATTTAATGCATGTTTGACTAAAATTTATTTATAATTATTAAGTAAATTTTATTATAGATAATTTGTATTGATTAGATCTAAAAGTAAATTACTTATTCTAATAGTTAGAGACACTATGTATTTTTCTAAATTACGTACGTTTTCATTCATTACTAATTCGAATTTGTAAAAAAAAATACTTATTTTGACCATAAAGTATATATTATGATCAAAAAACAACTTACTATAAATTTGATATTGAAAATAAAAAGAATATGTGTTAAACAACTTATTTATTTATATAAGTAATCTATATCAACAATGTAAATAACTTTTTTTAAAACTTTCAGTTGTTTGGAAAGACTGGTTGTCAAAGTTATTAGAAAAGTACTCACTAATTTATTTTTTTAAATGTTCATTGGTGAATATGTATATTTTCTTAATTCTATCATGATTCGGTTAATTTATATTTCTTAAGGTAGGCATTGATTTTCTATTTGGTAAAAAAAAATACAAAAATTTAGTGGAATATTTTAATTCGAGACATCTAAACTTTATTATTTTATTAAATGTCATATACTTTCTATCATGAATGTCACGAAAATAACCTCCGAAACTCAATTTCTTGTGGCGTAAGTTCATTTAAAAAATTTTAAATTTCAGCCCATCCTAACATCATTTTCTAGCTCCACTCTTGTGTATACGCACCAAAAAAATTAAGAAAAACCTATTTTCACTACTATGAGACATAGGGTCTAAAAAGAACAAGAAGTCATCCAGTTATTAAAGGTTTTTAGTCAAAATACACCGTTTTGAAAATATTATCTAATATGGACATTAGTCTTCTATATATTTTAATTCCAAATGAAGTGGGAAAAATTGGCCAAGAATATTGAGAGTTAAAAATTGGATTTATTTCACTTCATAATTTTAATAATGTTAAGTTATAAATAAATAAAATTTTAAGACATATTTTTCTAATAAAATTAAATATAGAGCAAGTTACCCATTTTAATAATAACATCTATTTATGGTCAATAAGTATTTTTTAACTTATAAGTATAATTAATAAATGAAAAAAAATTTAAATTTTAATTACTTTTAAGATAATAATAATTATTATTATTATTATTATTATTATGTCCCTCACCATATTTTACACGTATGGTCAATTTCATTAGATAATTTTCTTGCTCATAAGCCTACTAACATGGAAATGCTTTCTGATGTGAAGAGGTTAAAATATCAATTAATCCAATTCTGTCATCTCATTTGGGTTTTATTTCTTTATACTACTGCAGCAAAAATAAAGTTGTTTTTGGCCTTTTACCTACAATCTTAAATTTTAAAAGTTTTACTATTTTGAGCAATAAATTTAGAAGTGGGCTAATTCTAAAATTTGGTCTATTTAAGAAATTAGGCTGGAAGTGGTCAAATACTCAAATATTAGAGAAAGTGAATAGTGGGTTAATTCTAAATTTGGGCCTAAATATAACTTTTTAAGAAAAACGTTACAAAGCAAAATAGGAAATGGCCCAATCCGCCCCTGGTTATAACTTTAATAAAACGTTGCTATATTGACTATTGAGGCATTAGACTCGATTATTCTTATATGGAGTTCGTATTTGGAGGCAAAGATAGGTTGGTTTATGCAGTTGGGGGGCCATTGTCACAATGCTATTTATTGATTAACGTTTATTTTTGTCTGTTTATGTGGTAATAGAATCCTTGTCAAAATTTATTGATTAATAATATTTATCACTATTGGTATTGTTTACCCACCCCTCAGTCACTACGAACACCCATAATCAGTGCAATGAGATGTGTCTATTTATCCATCTCTTCACTCGAAATGGGAGCAGGTCGTACGGGCCAATCCGCCCCTGGTTATAACTTTAATAAAACGTTGCTATATTGACTATTGAGGCATTAGACTCGATTATTCTTATATGGAGTTCGTATTTGGAGGCAAAGATTGGTTGGTTTATGCAGTTGGGGGGCCATTGTCACAATGCTATTTATTGATTAACGTTTATTTTTGTCTGTTTATGTGGTAATAGAATCCTTGTCAAAATTTATTGATTAATAATATTTATCACTATTGGTATTGTTTACCCACCCCTCAGTCACTACGAACACCCATAATCAGTGCAATGGAATGTGTCTATTTATCCATCTCTTGACTCGAAATGGGAGCAGGTCGTAAACTCCATCTCATTGCCTAACAGACTTGTGGTCATATATAGCCTTGTTCCAGTTTATTTCATATATTGAATTATGTTGCTTTTCAAGTAGGATTAATCCATCTCACAATAAAACTCTATCGAAATCTTGTTAAGAGCACTACAGTATGCAACACATTTTAATTGCAATAAAGGTCTTAAACATCTACAATTAATATTGATGATTGGTGGGTCCGACGCCTATTTGGCTTCTTTTATTGACATAGATCATGTCTTGAATCCACTAAAGTTACATAAGGCAAGGCGTATCAAGATATCTTTCACTTCGTGATTGCAAAGCTAATGTAATTTCCATCAAAACCTCGGGAGTATGTAATACGTTGATCAACTCGTGAAAATTTAAGTCATTGGATTGGACTTAATTTTCATAATACATTATTGCTAGACTTAATCCCAGAGCTTCTTATCACAGATATCACCTTGAATCACTAGTTCTTGTTTATATTACGACCAAAACCAGTAGTATCTTTCACATACGTTTCAAGGGTTATGTCTTAAAAGACAATGCAAGAACCATAATTGAACTAGTACTGTGTCTGTGTATACACATATGAATGCCTGTGTATGATCTTAGTCTACCAGCTTGCATCGCTCTTCCCTTGGTTTCCTCCGTACAAACGGAAGAGACTGAAAGCAGAAATGGCAGAGAGAAGCACCATAACAAGGCTTGCAATGACAGCACTGGCAATGCCTTCCCCAATTTGATTACAGAATTTCCCATACCAGTTGCAAACCTTTATCCACTGCAGTTCACTCTGCCCCATCTAGGAAAATACAGCAGATTGAGCAGCTGCTGCAACCGCAGACAAAGTCAAGTACGCCATTATCCGCACAAGTACGTTAATTTCAGATGTTAGGAAACGAGCAAGAATAAAACTGGACGTCCAGGCCCCTGGACGTCCAGGCCCCTGGACGTCCAGGCGCCTATTTGGCGCCCCCTATTGGGGGGTCGTCTGACAGTGACAGGCGACCCCCAGTACAAACGGAAGAGACTGAAAGCAGAAATGGCAGAGAGAAGCACCATACCAAGGCTTGCAATGACAGCACTGGCAATGCCTTCCCCAATTTGATTACAGAATTTCCCATACCAGTTGCAAACCTTTATCCACTGCAGTTCACTCTGCCCCATCTTGGAAAATACAGCAGATCGAGCAGCTGCTGCAACCGCAGACAAAGTCAAGTATGCCATTATCTGCACAAGTACGTTAATTTCAGATGTTAGGAAACGAGCAATATACATAGAGGTTTATAGTGGTTTACTCTTAACGTCGCATCTCTTTTGCACCCAAAGAAATAGTCTCCTAAAAATTATAATACATATATGGCATAGTCAATCTACTGCAATAATATTTGTGACTCGCAATGAAAAGGATAATTGAACAATAAGATAAGGCTCCACTTAATCCGTGAAATGGACCACTCATTGTAAATACAGAGAAGGATTGAACTGTAAACTTTCCCCCATCTCAGTACTCTGCCTAAATTGTATGGCCCCTTGAAGTTTAGAGAAGGATTGAACACATTTAATGCAGGATGATATGCTTCATTCAAATTACTCGTAAACTTTGGCACTAAAATTATCTAATTTTCCAGTTGCCAATCCCCTATTCCAAATAGGAAGACATCTGAAAGAAATCACCTTTTTGTGTCTATTACATAAAAATCAGTTTTCTTGGAGTGTGTGGATCTTAAATGAATCTGTCTGTTTGCTTATTATTACTCTGGAACAGGGCTTGATCTTAAATTATAAGTATCAACATGCCCTATGGTTATGAAGTCAAAGACTCGTGACAGATACAGACAGACTGAAGAAATTAAGCTGTAGAAGAGTGATATTTGGTACCTGATCTCCAGAGAAAATGACCCAAGCCAAGGGCTTGTTAAAGAGCACACTTCCTCTAATCATACTCAAAACACACCTCAAAACTTGGATCACGGAATAGGCAGCAGCTAACCCACTGGCTATTACCAAGAATCTGTACACTCAAACATAGGGAAATCATAATTTAATTAACAACCCATTTTTGGATCAGGGCTTAATCTATAATGAGAGAGAGAGAGATCTAGATCTTACACAAGGGCTTTCATGTCTGTAAATTTAGCCTTCTTTTGTATAGTAAAGATCACTTTAACCTGAGAGTCGGTTCCAATAAGAACAGCAGCAAGAATGGCTAGACCACATACCAAACACCTTAAACTCAGCTCTGCAACCCTAACTCTCCTATCAATTACCTTCAAATTACTTCCATGAACATTATTAATACTAGTTCCAACACCAAGATAACTCATATTTACTCCTATTACCGAAGTAGGAAGAGAACCCACAAAATATATAAGCACAAGGTTCACCTACCTACCACATTCCACCACTTATGAACACCTAATCAGTATACTTTTTTCTTCTGTCGAGTATTTTTTTTTTTTTTAATGGAATGGGAGAGAGGACGAATGTTCAATCTTATCGTTTGAGGAATAGTGGAAATTATGAACCATATTTTCCTACATAGTGAAAGAGTTGGTGTGGATGAATGTTTGACAATTGCACAAGAGTAGAGTTGGTAAAATGATTGAAGTGAACACATTTGGAACGCGATTTTGTGCTCTGGTGGGCCATTGCGGGTACACGTTTACACCTTTGTAATAATAATCCTCTCCTAAAATAATTTCTTATGCAAACTAATCTCTCAACCATATGGTATAGATTCAAAATTTGATGATAATAAAGTGTAATTTATTGTTAGATCATTACCTAACCATGATATTTACTTCATGTTTGACAAAGTTTTTTTGACATTATAAGTTGATATTTTCATAAAATGTGAGATTAAAAAATGAATAAAAATTGTGGATTCAATCAAATATGAAATTAAAAATAAAGTTTGAATTTGAATAACTTAGAATCTTAGAAGAACTTTGCCAAACATGGACTAAATCAAATACTTCTCTCCAAAAATGTAAAATACAAAAATATAAATTTGAGCACTTACAAAAAGGATAAATTTCCAATATTATTTTTTTGCTCGGAGACAAAAAATTATGTGATATCAATTAATGATATCAGAACACCTAGACCAGTTCTTAGCGCCAAAGCTCTAAAAATTTTCACATTGTTAACAATGAACTACATCTTAAGAATTCTGAAGCTGATATCACATAAAATGATTCTATTATTGGTATTTCTGCTTAGTTACGTTCAAGATTTAGGGCGCAAATGGCTTGAAATCCTGCCTGGTTTTTATCAGCAATTTTTTTAATAGTGGGAAAATAATATTTAACAACTAACATTCGACTGAGCTTATACTCAGAATTCATGATATATTAATCGGGAATTTAGTATGAGAGTTTTGCTAATGCTTTTACATAAAAATCAAAACATTCTTGGGACAAGACAAGAAGCCCCGCCCGGTTCAAGAATTGGTGATCAGGGAAGATACTCAAACTTGCACGAACCATGACCTGTCAGTATGGAAAAAAAAAAATTATATAAAATGTTGCTTATGAACATCTATCACATGAAAAAATACCAAGCACATGGGATTCACCATATTTTCAAGAAAACGAAGATCTAGATTTCGGAAAGTTTAGGCTTCTTTGTTGGCAAGTTCATATCAAGACATTTTTTTTACATGTAAAGTCTCAACATTTAAAAGTTCTGAGTTCAAGTTTCTCCACTGTACCTAAAAAATTATATACTTGCCAACCGCACACATGAGGAGCATAGTGAAAACAACTTAAATAACTAAACTCTAACCTCTTGAGCTTATTGAAGAAGTTGTCCTACATGTGGACGAGAATATTTGTTTGCTTACTTGGATTTTCAGCGGTTAAAATTGCAGCAGAATTGAAGTAGCAACTTCCTCCTTTATGCTTGAACTTCTGATAGTAGCTATTGAATGCATAAGAAGCATGATCCTTTACTGTATTTGGAATATGGCAAGCTTGGTTTGCCTGTATCTTACTGCACTCTGCACCATTGCTACAGGCCCAACCAAGAGCCCTCTGCAGTTCATCATCTGGTGTTTGCTCATCTGCTATGCACCAGTCCGCGAACTGTCCCTCTAACATCAACCAAAAAAAAAACGTAAAGCGAAGTTAGATGACGTGTAAATGAAAATCCAGGCACTCATTCCGATGCAGCCAACGAGAAGTTAAATTTCAGCACGACAGAATTCCGACACAACCCAGGGTAATTAATTCCTACGACAACAGAGCAAATTATAAATCTAGCAAGGACGCGTAATGTACAGATCTAGATATGTGCTTCGCAAGTAACACAGTTCAATGTTTACCAGAATTCCACGATAAAGATAAGAAGAAGATCAAAGCTAATAGAATCTTCATCACGGCTGACGGCATCGACCTGAACTTGTATCAACTCGTAGACTTTAGAAGGATGACACCAAGAAGTTCCTGGATTTTTACAGAGTCTTTGCACACAGCAAGAAATATATAAACCTTCTCCAGATCCAAGAACAACAGCTTCAGATGTAATCCACTTGTAATACCAGTAATATCCTTTCTTTACAAAGTGAATACTGTTCACCAAAAAGATTAGTAGCAATAGGAACAAAATGAAATTTAATAATGAAGAAATATATATATATCAGGTCGGACGGAAAATTTTGTTTGTACATAATTATTGCATATAATAGTGTCTATAATGTGATGTGGCAATCATCCGATTATTAACGTGCGTGTGTGAGATTTGAATTAAAGGTTGGATCCAGTGCTACATATAATTATAAACATCATTATATAAACAATTATATACATATAACACTTTCCCAGGTTGGACTTGTTATAAAATTCGACGAGATACACTATAAAGAGGGGAAAAAGAAAAGATAAATCTGCGTGGATATTTTAATTTCTGCTTTTTTAACTGGTAAACTTGTCAGGGCAGATGAGTCAATACATATAAAGATGGATAGCCTATGATATGATTTGCTGTCAACAGAGAGCATCAAGATTTTCCTCCTCCTGAAGGAATCATAAAAGGGTAACAAGATTCTTCTGTTTCGCTTTTCCAAATTGATTTTGCACTTTTGTTTCTCTACAAGATCTGAAGAGATTTTATTTTAATCCCGTTTTAGATCTAGTAATTAATGTGAATGAAAAGATTCTCTGGTTAATGACCCACAAATTATCCTTTTTACTGTATAAGTCAACTTTCTATATCATGTGATGTCTGGTTTAGGCTCGGTACTGCCCCATCGGGAAATTAAAAAAAAAAAAAATTGCAATCCACACCAAGACGATCACAAAGTTTGCATAGCTATAACAGATAATAGATCATTGACACAAAGTATCCTAAACGTAGTCTTCAAGTAACTTAAATCATTTATATCGTTCCACTTTTAAAATTTGAGCATTCAAATCGATTATTCTTTGAGCTTTCTGTTTGATTCTGTCCATTTATTTTGTTAAATAAATAGGTGGGGGCTTCGCATATGATGTCAAAAATACAATCTTGCGCTTAAAAAATTTAAATAAACAAAGAAACGATATTAAAAAAGGCAAAATAGAAATATAAAAACAAAACAAAGGAAACAAAAATTAAAGATAAAATATAAATTAAAAAAAAAATCTCTATCTTCTCCAAACTCCGTTCCTGTCCAAAAGTGGTCAAGAAAACACTAAAAAAATAATAAGAAATAAATAAATAAGAAATCACAATTGAAGTCGAAGAAAAATTTCGCCAAATGCTGATGCAGAAACAAGAAACAGGGACCCAAAGATATAAACAATGACAATCATGAGTATAAGATGAAAATAATTCTATATATACATTATGGTGTTCATAAGAGTATTCATAATGTACACGTCGAATTCCATGATTGGAGGGATGAAAAATTTATTTTTCAACTCCCTAATTATATTATTCCACTTGTACATTATGAATACCCTTATGGACACCATAATGTACATAAGATAAACACTCGTAAAAAATTCTATCAACTTCTTGTTTGACAAATAAACTATGCAAAAAATAGTTGGTGGCGATTGTCAATGCTCTTGATATGTTCAATGCAGGAAATTCCACCAAAGAGTGACTGCATTCTGGAAGATCTAAACCATCCATGTTCCCACATAATTCATCTGTCAGCTTATGAGTAAGTTAATAAATGTAGATATAGCTAATTAAAAAAAAACCTTTAAAAAATCAGCAAGTGAAGAATGCATCTCTTCAAAAATTGTGTCCTATGAAGAGGTTTCAACAAATCCTATTAATATTTGTCATTTAGCATCCAATAAAGCTGATTTCCTAACAAAAATTAGGGCAAGAGATAACATGATTATGTCCAAATAAAAAACACAATTACGTACATCATGTGAGCATGTGCAAATACAGAAATATCTGCACACACACACACACACATAGGAGCGTGCAGGTGTGAGGGGTGGTTTGACGATGGGGCAAAGCAGAAAATTTAAAGTTGCAAAAGCACAAGCGATTCAATTTCCTTTAGAAATTAGAATTATTATTCTTCTATAGGTAATTTCATTCTAGATTTATTTATCATGGATTTTATACAAATCACGTAAAACAAAGTGCAAGCAACTGGCATGCAGCTCAAGTTCCAAATAGACCAATGCTTCGTTCTAACATAGTGATGTATTACATCAAAAGAGGTTACAAAAACATCAACAATGTAGTTCTTTGTGAGTGAGGCATGAATAGAAGGATGTGATTTTGGTAAATCTCATGGAAAAAGGGTGTCCTTCTACACTATGAATGGCCAAAACACCAGAAAAGTAGAGCCTCAGATTTTATATCTTTACTCTTTGTGTCAAACAATGGTGTAGATAGGTGGAGGAGGGTTAAACAATTTATCATTCCAAATATATTAGGATATCATGGTCCACTGGGGTGTTGGGAACCTGAATCCTACGTCGAAAATATGGGCTTCCTTTGGTTTATAAAGGCTTGGATTCTCCAACCTCAACGGCCAGCTTTTGAATCTGGCTCTTCCATGCTCTATTACAATGTGCCCAAACCAAACTAATTTTTCCATCATAGCAAGTCGTTGTTCAGTCATTCAGTTCTAAATGGCAAGATGTTAGCTTCACTCTTCAGTTACTTGGAATAGTTAATGTACCTTAAGTTATTACTTATAACCCATTTCTAATCTCACCCATTCTCCATTTTTTAATCTTTTTTGTTTTTTTGTTTTGTTTTTTTTGACAGAATTCAGCAGTATAGATTCTTTAACAGAAAAGCAAACATCGTATGACGACATTCCAATAAAATGAGACATAAATGGCTAAAACAAGAAAAGGCAAAAAATAAAAACTTACCCACTTCTTGAATTAATTAATACAACGTATCCCTAAATTTCTCTCTCTCTCAAGTCCGAGATCAAATGGAGATCAATGGAGGATCAAACTAATTTAACGGTTGTGGATTTTGGGAAGACAAAGATTAGCGCTAGGTTTCAAGATTTGATGAGAGAAGAGAAGACGTGGGGTTGGGGAAGAAAGAGGGGAGAGAAGAAGCCAGTATTCACATGAATTGAGACAGATGGCTTTATGAAGAAAAACCGGCCAAATTTGATCCAGGCATGTGGCGGATTCACATGTATACACGCATATTTCTGTCCGAATCCGAAATTACAGTAGCCTGGAATACATTCAGCATTCTGTATGTATTTTGTTGACCCCAAAAAATGTTGTCAACAGATGTCGGTCCCACTCGCGCACACGTGGGTGAATGTCCAACACGCTAAGACACGGGGACGGTCTAAAATGAGCGGTTCAAAGGGCGTGGGAGTAGCCCAGCGACGCGGGACGAAGACGTTTGAAATTCGACGGGTTGTTCGTGATTCGATTGTACAATAATTACCAATCGGTATTCATCTATGTATATGTAAATGTGTATAAACTCGATTTGTATATTACAAGTAAATGAGAGAGAGTTGAATAAAGTGTAGTTCTTTATATTAATTCTTGCATTGGTCTTTTGATGTTATACAAGGGAAGTATTTATAGTGATACATGTGAAATGGGAGCCTTTGGATGAGGTGGCACGTTGCCTCATCTTTTTGATTCAAACATCTTATCCTAGGAAGGGGGCTTGACTTACTAGCTTGCTGCGCATTTATTGCTTATGCAGAGCCTCCATACTAGTGACAAGATTTGACCTTTATGCTTATGACAAACGTTCCATCAATCATTCGAATGAGATCTTTGTACAGATGATTTCTTGGGAGAAGTGAACATGGAGGAAACTCCCCTGTTCTTCGGAGGCTCCTGCATCAGTTTCGGGGCTTCGGCCATTTCACACAATACTTCCGCTTGAGGGCTTCAGCTACCTTCAACTAGCTTTAGCATCATGACTTCGGTGAAAGGCGCCTCGACTATTGGACTTCGGCTTGAAGGGCATTGCCCAACTCGGCTGGAGTGCCACGTGGTTCGGCCTGAGTGGGCCATTGGCCCAGGTGGATTGACCAAGTGTGACAACAAGCAACAATAGTCCCCCAAGTCCAAGTATGATCATTTATGTAATGCGTGGACTTTAATGAAGTAAAAATTGAAAGAATTTTTTGAACTCCAAATAATAGTCCCCGAAGTCCAAGTGTATATATTTATATTAGAGTTGGAATTAGAAATGTGTTGAAATTGAAGACGAAAATGAGGTGGTTTGAGAAATCGAACCTGCGAGGCTTGATGGCTAAATGTTGAAGTTGAAGCCGAGGTGGTTGGGAAATCGAACTGCGAGGCTTGATGGCTGAATGTTGAAGTTGAAGCCGAGGTGGTTGGAAAACCGAACCTGCGAGGCTTGATGGTTGAATGTTGAAGTTAAAGCCGAGGTGGTTGGAAAATCGAACCTACGAGGCTTGATGGCTGAATGTTGAAGTTGAAGTCGAGGTTCAATGGTAATGATTATACCTCGATGGCTACGCCAATGATTTGATATTTTGTGCTTGTTTTCGATGAAAAGACGGCAGACCCGTACGACTTCCAAGGCGCCTGCTGCCGTCGAATTAAAAACACAATTATGAGGACAGCTGGAGGTTCTAGAAGCAGACGCTTGAATCTGGGGACGGGGTGACTGGAATGCACGCTTGAATCTGAGGCGTAGGTTTGAAAAATCGTTTGAATTCAACGCCTCGAATTTGTTCTTCAGTGAGGGTTCAGATTGACTGAGATTCGATCTGACGGCTGGGGCTCATCCTGGACCTCTATAAAAGGTAAGAGAATCCCATTTTTTAGGACTTTTGAAACTTTGCAATTTGATTCTCTCTCAAATTCCTGAATCTTTTCGGCGTCAAGGCTGCTCGTTTTTTTATTTTTCGGCTTATCTCCGTTCGTGTAGTGTTCTTCCCTTAAGTATCATTCGCAGAAGAATCTCTTTTTTGTTGCATTAATTTTGTGAGATGGAGTCCACCTCGGGTAGGGAGTTGGTGACGGTTGCGTCGTTAGATTATGAGGTCAGTCAGAGGGGGGATGCCGAGGCTGATAGTTATGCCATGACCGAGGACCTAGTAGATTATACTGAAGAGTGGGGGGCATCTAGGGTGCCCTCAAGTATGACGTGGAAAAGGTTAGGAGAGATACAGTGTCCCTCATACCATAGAAATGC